GTACAAATGTCTTCATTCGTCACCAGTATCGGTGACCATCAATGAACCTTCTATCTCTTGACCCCCAGCAGACCACACACACACATATACCATTTTCTCCCGTCACCAATATCGGCGACCCAACTCCTAACCCATCGGAGTCTCCCTACTATCATCACTATCGGCGATCAACTTACTCCTTCTAGATAGCGACAACCAATATCGACGTCTCTCCAATGCCACCACTTCAAGGACAATATCACCCTGTTCTTTCTCAAACTACCCAATACAGAACCTATACACGTCTCTCCATACAACACACACTAACACTTAGCACACATACACCAGTAATGTTCACTTACCAAACTCCTAAATTTACAGCAGCTATACCAACCTAAATGCACATACAAATCACACCCGCACACCACACATCTACAACAATACACCTCTACCCCGATCCCTCACACTCATGCGCTACAGGCCTCCCTTTCCTACTCCCTAATTTTCAAAATACACACACTCCACCCTTCCATGCCTACCTTCTCTGTTAGCACCCAACACACTCTCTATCCCTGCCTTCACTCCTCCTTGTACCTCCACTCACAACCACACATAATTTCTTCTCTCACACGAACCTCACTCACTCACCGAACTCCTCATTCTCTCTCCTCTCGCGGCCTCCTCCATATACCTCCACTCACAATCACACAGAATTTCCTCTCTCTCACGGATCTCACTCACTCACCGAACTCCCCATTCTCTCTCATCCCACGGCCTCCTCCATGTTCCTCCACTCACAATCACAGAATTTCCTCTCTCTCACGAACCTCACTCACTCACTAAACTCCTCATTCTCTCTTCTCCTGCGGCCTTCATGTACCTCCACTTGCAATCACACAGAAATTTTCTCTCTCTCACGGACCTCACTCACTCATCTAACTCTTCATTCTCTCTCATCCTGCGGCCTCCTCCATGTACATCCCTTCACACTTCTACAATTCCACCGACTATCTCCACCCGCCTATTCCCTGAACTACAGTTTTTCTACTCCATATGCTAAGCGATGACTATATCTTCCCAAACCTACGGTCACAATTTCAAATTTATACTAAACCTACTCATGAAACTTAAGATTTACCGTACCTCCCATCTCCATCTCTCTTTCTGCACTCTCGTGGCTCGCATCGTCATTGTCCTCCTTCTCCTTCTCTCTCTCTTCTCGTTCCTCCCCGCTCCAGCTCCTCTCTCTCTCTCTCTCTCTCACCTTCTCCTCCTTCGACTCCTCTTATCTGTTTTTTTTCTTTTCTTTCCTCTTTTTTTTTTCTTTTTTTTTCTTCTCCTATTTATATCCCACCTGCCTCTCATCCTGCCCGTCCATCTCATCTCATTCCAGCCGTCCACTCCTTCTTCTCTAAACGACGCCGCTTCCTCCTCCTTTTCTCCAAACGATGCTGTTTCCTCCTCCTCTTCTCTATACGGCATCGTTTCCTCCTCCTCTCCCCAACTACACCATTTTCCCATTTATAATTATTACTATGTATATATATAAAAGAACTTTTTTTTCCAATATCCAATTACTACAATTTATCTTCATAAGTTATTTTTGGGAAAGCCTATAACGGTAAGTATGAAATAAAATATTTTAGAGTTAAATGTATTTATTTAAATTAAGGGTTACATTAGTTATTTTGTGATTCTTATCAACCTTTGATTTTCTGTATCAATGATTAGTATGATATTCTTACTGAACTAGTGTAACTCACCTTTTTATTAAGCATTTTATATCAAGAAGATTAAGATTTAGACCCCAATCAGTAAGAGAGTTGTGAGTAGTTCACCTTCCGAACTCCCTTCAAGTACTAATGAAGGTTAACCTTTAGAATATCTATTTAATTGTTTTAATTACCGTTTACCTTTTTTTATAAACCAATATAGAAGAGATATTCTCGTAGCCCTATTGGGTATTCTAATTTACTGTGTCAGGAATGTAAACCCTAAAATTATTATTCGCTTCTGCATTTAAAATATAAATTCATTTCCTTTGAGTTTCGGGTCATTACAAAATTTCATTGTTGAGAATGTTGTATAAGATCATTGTGAAAATCTGCAAGCAATAGTTAGTAAAGAAAATAATACTCGCTCACGTGTTTCACTTCTTGTGTTTTATTCGACATCCTTCCTTCAAGTTGAATGTCAGAATAAAATTTTCGTGAATCAAGATAATCAAATTTTATTTTTGATACTTTAAGAAAATACGAGGGAAAGAAAGTGGCAAAATAATTTTAGAAATAACAATTCAAACACATGGATGAAGATAATGAGTGTTTTATGTATGATGCTAAGTAACTATGGTGCAACTAGATACTTAAAGACGTAGTGAAATTAAAGTACAAGGAAACACAGAGTGCATGAAGGATAATATGAATATGATTTTTTTTTATGTATATGAGTGGATGCAAAGTATGATTTTTTTTACTATGAAGAATAATGAATATGCGAAGATAAAATATACAGGATAGTAAGATTTATCTTGAGCCTAAGCTCTGATACCAAATGATGCGAAACCCAAGATCAATTAATGTGATCAAAAATTTCGCATATAACATTAGTATTCAAAATCATAAAATTCTCAACAAATCTTCTTTACTTGACCTACATTCATCGCGTGAATATCAATCAAGGTAATTGGGATAGTTCGAACTAATTAAAAATGCCACAAGTATGAACTTAATAAGTTAGAAATCAATTTGAAAGAAAATTAATAAAATACCACAAGAATTTATCTTGATAAGTTGAATCAATTCTCATTCAACAAGAAGGTTGAAGAAACCAAACTAGTTGAAAAATAAAACTTCATAGTTTTATTTTTCTCAAATTTGATTCTTTACAATTGTGAATTGAAGATTTATTTATAGAGTAGACCATGTGCATTATAAATAAATAAATGTCCTAAATTAATGGAAGAAATTATAAAAAAATTAAATATCGTATTGAATGAGAAAATAATAAAAATTAAGAAGATTTTGACTATAATAGGCTAGATAGAATATTCTTTTTTAAATGAAAATATTTTGATTAATTGTGGTGAAATTAGGAAAAATAAATATGGTTAATTAAGGCTGGCTATTAAAAGAGGAAAGATACCACCCATATCTTTCCTAAACTGTAGGATTTAGTTATTTAAGAAATGAAATTTAATTTTTTCTTCCTTTAAGATATTATATGGTTTAGAAAGA